TTGAAACCTGTCTTATATTAAACCAGGCCGTGTGTGTCTTGGTTACATATATGAGGAAAAAAAATTAGCAAATCAATTAATTGTGTAAATAAGACAGTTGATCTATTCCTGAAGATACTTTAGAACTGTCCTGGAGGCGCCTGGGTGGCTCCGTCAGTTAAGTGTCCAACTCCTGATCTTGGTTCAGGACATGATCTTATGGAGCATGGGATCAAGCCCCGCATCAGGCTCTGCGCTGACAGCATGGAGTTTGGGATTCTGTCTCCCTCTCTCTCTGCCCCTTCCCTGCTTGCTCTCCATCTCTTTCTCAAGGTAAATAAGCATTTAAAAAAAAGTTTAGAAGTGTCTTGGAAACATTTTATCTAAGAATATGAAGCACTGGGTTGATGGCAGAAGTAGTTTGGTAAACTGGCTCTACAGGAAAAACACAAGGGAGTAATACAAGGAGAATTTCAATCTTCAATAATGTTTTGTGTTTTAAGTATCTGAAACAACACTGACAAAATGTTAAGATATTCATTCATGTCTAACCCTAAGTTAGTCCATTGGTATTCAAACAGATTAATAAAAAGAAAAGAATATGTAAGTGGTCATCCAGCAAATGTTAATGAAATATTACAGATGTGTCTAAAAAAAATGGTGTCAACTCAACACAAGTCAAAATACTAATAATAAAATCACCAGGCACGATAAACATTTGGGCTTTTCAATTCTGGCACTATTAACATTTTGGGCTGGATAATTCTTAGTTTTGGGAAACTGTGCTGCACACTATAAGACACTTAGCTGTATTCCTGGCTTCTACCCACTAAACACTAGTAGTGTTCCTAGGTGTAAGAACCAAAAATGTCTCTAATCACTGCCAAATGTCCCCTGGGGGATAAAAGCACCCTCCATTGAGGACCACTTATTTAAACTATTGAACTGATGGATTTCACAATTCTATCCTTCCCAAATTTCTTGGTGACTACGACATCGTTAGATTAACATGATTAATAAAAAGGTAATTTCAACACTTAGCTTTAGGCAGGAGGAAGACAAAGTTTAATAAAAAAGAAGCAGTAGTTTAATAAAACAGAAATACTACTTCATGCTACAACCTCGAAATCATTATGCTAGGTAAAAGAAGTCAGTAACAAAAGACCACATAGTGTACAATTCCATTTTTATGAAATGTCCAGAACAGGCAAATATACAGAGACAAAAATAGATTTTAGCAACTGCCTAATGCTGGAGTGGTGGTAGTGGTGGTGGTGGTGGTGGTAAATGTGTGTGCAGGACAGGGAAAATAGGAGTAACTGCTTTTAGATATAGGGTTTCTTTCTGGAGTGACAAAGCTATTCTAAAATTGGTTATTCTAAATATACTAAAAACCTCTGAATTGGACATTTTTAATGGGTTAATTATACGGTATATGAAGTACATCTAAATAAAGCTGTTTAGAAAATAAAAGCAGTGGTATACAATACAGAATTAGGTTGCACTGACAACTGATTTAAGATTCTGATGCAGAAATCCCTTTGCCTTCCAAGGAGTCTCATTGAAAGTTTCAAGGCAAACTTCCATCTCTCTAAAGATAGTGTAAAACCAAAAATCCAGCATTGTTTTTTTTTAATTTTTTTTCAAGTTTTATTTATTTTTGAGAGAGAGAGCATGAGTTGGGGAGAGGCAGAGAGAGAGGGAGACACAGAATGAGAAGCAGGCTCCAGGCTCTGAGCTGCCAGCACAGAGCCCGATGCGGGGCTCGAACTCACAGACCGTGAGATCATAACCTGAGCTGAAGTCAGACGCTTAACCAACTGAGCCACCCAGGTGCCCCACAGCATTGCTTTATTATTTTTTTTTTTATTTTTTTTTTTCCAACGTTTATTTATTTTTGGGACAGAGAGAGACAGAGCATGAACGGGGGAGGGGCAGAGAGAGAGGGAGACACAGAATCGGAAACAGGCTCCAGGCTCTGAGCCATCAGGCCAGAGCCCGACGCGGGGCTCGAACTCGCGGACCGCGAGGTCGTGACCTGGCTGAAGTCGGACGCTTAACCGACTGCGCCACCCAGGCGCCCCCAGCATTGCTTTAAAGAACAAAACTGAAGACTGTCAAAATAAGCCACTGTATCACTTAATCTAGTCATTTGTTTCATATCTGAAAATACTGATATCAAACAACATTAAAAGACAAAACAGATGTATCATAAAACCTAACTTACTCATATCAACTGAAGGAAAATGACAGCTGGAATATTGGCAAATAATAAACAAAAGTTTATAAAAAATCTAGCACAGACTTATTTCTGACAAGGAGTACTAGATATTAGAAAGGAAGGAAGGAATCCAAAAATGCTAGATAATTTTTAAAAATTTCTTTTAAAATGACTGAGCTCAAAAGAAAATAAAAAGATAATCCTCAGTTAAAAGATAAAACAAAACAAAAACCTGAACCCTACAAAGGAAGACAAGAAAGAAGCCGTTTTTCTTGGCCTTTGGTAGAGACTGAGGAGGGTTATTTCCCTAAGGATTTGCAATAATGTAGCACCAGCTTAAAAAAAAAAATGTAAACACATAATTTACATACACACAAATGCAGAGAAAGAGATTCAGAAATCCACATATTCAGGCACTAATAGAGGTACTCTCCAGGCATTAGAAGTATGTTTGTATTTTGTCATCTTTTCTAGTTTTGTATAGTATACAAGTATTGCTTCTAAGTATAGAGCTGCTTAAAATAAAATGGTTCTGGGATTGTTGCACAAATAAAACAAATTCTCTCTGGAGCAATACATCTTTGGCCCAGACACAAAGTATTCCCACAGACAAATCCCCTCCCACCCAAAATAAGGTCACAATTACACACACACACACACACACACACACACACACACACACACACACACACACCATTGCTCCTGCTGCTGCCACCACCATAAGAAACAGCAAACTGAAAACAAAATGCAGGTTCAGATCCCCACGGATCTGACTTCAGATTTTGGAATTATTAGGCATAAAATCTAAAATAGAAAAATTTTTTTAATTTCTGAAGAAATAAAGGAATTAAAAGAATTATTAATAACAACATGAAAAGGCAAAGATATAAAGAATCAAACAGAACTTCTACAAAGGAAGGATGTAATTACTGAATCGAAAGTTAATCAGTGGGTTAAACAGAACATCTGACACATATGAAAGGCAAAATTAGCAAACTGGAGAGATAGTCCTGAAAAAAATACTCAGAATACAGTACAAGACTGGTAAGGTAAAAGAAAGTTTAATGAACATGGGGGATAGAGTAAGAAACTAATAAACATGTAATAGAAATACCTGAAGGATATCAGGCTAATATAAAAGGAAAGAGACATGAGAAGAGACATTAGCAACCAGGAGATAAAGTTTAACCTAGGAACAAAAATTAGACTAATAGTTGACATCTCTAGAACTGAAAGGAATCCCGAGATAGAAGAATAAAATCTGTAAAACACTGAGAGAAAAGTAATTGTTAAAGAATTGCATACCCAATAAAATGATCTTTCAAGAACAAGGGTAAAATTAAGGCATTCTTGGACAAATAAAACATTGAGAAACTTTACCATCAACAAGCCCTCTTTAAATAAATATTTAAAGATATACTTCAGTAAGAAAATAATACCAAATAGAATTCTGAGGTACAAAAGAAAACCTTGTTGGGGGGAGGGGGGCGGGAGGAAAACACATAGTTTGATCTAAAGGAACACTGAATCTATTTATTTAACACTACTTTCCGTATCTAATTTATGGGGTTTTTAAATTTATGGGGTTTTAATACTTTCAGTATCTAATTTATGGGGTTTTTAAAAAAGAAAACACAAGACAAGAACAGCTTAAAGATCATAAAGGGAAATAAATGGAGTTAAAGCACTCTAACATCATGGAACTATTACATAAAAGAGTAAAAATACCAAGTAATTTTGGCCTTTTTTTTTGCTAGGTAAGAATGGAAGGTGTAATTTCAAGAGTGGCCTATAAAAAAAAAAGAAGTAGGATAAAAAACATTTACACCAGTAGAAAAAAATATGAGGAAACACTTATAAATGGTACAATTCGCCATAATAATTTAAACATTTAAAACTCATTTGCATTCAATCATAGAGCTTTCAACTGTATAAAGGAAAACTTGACACATCTATCATCATAATAAGAGATTCCAACTCATCTTTCTCAATAACTGATAGATCAAGAGACAAAATTAATCAGGCTATGGAAGTTTGAAAAATGCAATTAACAAACAAGCTTGCTCTGACTCTGCCCCCAAAAAACTGGAGAATACCTATCTTTCTGAAGCACACATCAAACTTTAATAAAATGTGACAACATAATAGGCCAAGCCGAGTAATTATTAACAAATGTCAAAGAATCAGTATCACAAAAGCCATTTTCTTTGACCAAAAATCAAAACCAAAAAAGAGTGCTTGAAAAATACCCTATGTTCAGAAATCTAAAGGCGTATTTCTAAATACCTCAAGTGGAAAAAGAAATCACAAAATGAGAAAATGCAAAAAATAAATATTTTAAAGAATACAACATACCAAAATTTGTGTAATGCACCTATGGTGATTTGTAGAGGTGTACTGATAGCCTGGAAAATGCTCATATTTAAACCACGAACTATGCATCTAATTTAAGTTTAAACAAGGACAATAAAAAGTACACTTTTCAAAGGCATAATTCAAGTAGCCTAACAAAGTGTTGCACTATGCAAGCTCTCAGAAACTGGGAACTGGTTTTAAAATTTCATAAAGTACAATAATTATTTTTAAAATTAGGTAATATGAAGTGTTTGCTTGTATCTTTAATATTGCGTAAGAAATGGATTGTCAATTCTACTCTATCTCCAGCAAATAAACCAGTATCTGACACATAATAATTAGCATTTAGTATATTCTAGGTAAATAATACCTTTTGTTATTATACAAAAAATATGAATGCATAAACATTAATCATAATACTAAATGAAGAAAAAGGACCACTTACCTGGTAATAAAATTTTATCTGTCTCACCAAAATGGATAGATTATGAATTCTAAGTGATGCATCATTGTTGACCTTTTTATTTACTCTCTGACTCTCCGATTTAGGATTGCTGTAAGAAATTTTAACAAAATGCTTTAAACTAAAATTATACTCAAATACATGTATCAATCTATAGGTGACTGAAAATAACCACATTAAAAAATGTGTATCCATCTGCATTAACAGAGATGACCCAAAGGACAGATGATGTGTTCTGTGCTTCTAATTAATATAAATGCATCTGATATTTCTAAGACAATGGCAAAATAAATTTGAAACATAAGTTACATATTTCTCTTCATTCTCATTTTGTTTCCCCATCTTCCTGGGATGAATAACCTCTTCTTTCTTTCAAATATATTTATTTCCATCACCCAAAATACATCTATTTAAATCAAGACTGTGGGACGCCTGGGTGGCTCAATCAGTTAAGCATCCAACTTTGGCTCAGGTCATGATCTCACAGTGCATGAGTCTGAGACCTGCATCAGGCTCTGTGCTGACAGCTCAGAGGCTGGGGCCTGCTTAGAAATCTTTGTCTCCCACTCTTTCTGTCCCTTCCCCGCTCATGCTCTGTATCTCTCTCTCTCTCTCTCTCTCTCTCTCTCTGTGTCTCTCAAAAATAAATATTAAAAAAATTCTTAAATAAAAAATAAATAAATCAAGATTATAAAATATGAGCTAATAACCAAGAAATGGTGTATCTCCTCAATAGATAATGGGGACTATATGTGAGCAGCCACTGTTCCACAGAAGTTAAACAATGCAGTTATGACACAGGTTAATACTTTAATCTTAGGTAAACTATACAGATTCAATGAAAGCAAATGGTTGAAGGATTCTGAAGTAGCAGAAACTGAAAAAAAAAAAAAAAAGTTAGACCATGGTTAAGAATGAGAAATTCAATCACAACCAAAAAAAAAGGCAATATAAGTAAAAATACACAAGTGTGACTATATAAAACCAAAAAGCTTCTGCACAGCAAAGGAAACCATCAACGAAATGAAAAGTCAACTTATGGAATGGGAGAAAGTATTTTTCAAATCATATATCTGATAAGGGGGGTTAATATTCAAAATACATAAAAAGCTCATACAACAACAAAAAATGAAACAATCTGATTTTAAAATGGGCAGAGGAACTGAATAGACATTTTTTCTAAAAAAGACCTACAAATGGCTAATAGGTACATGAAAAGGTACTCAACATCAGTAATCAAAAAAACACAAATCAAAACCATAATTAAGAATCACCTCATGTCTGTTAAAATGGTTACATCAAAAATGTAAGTGATAACAAATGTTTTGGCAAGGATGTGGAAGAAAGGGAACTCTCGTGCACTGTTGTTAGGAATGTAAATTGTTGCAACCACCATGGAGGTTCATGAAAAATTAAAAACAGAACTACCATATAATCAGCAACTCCACTTCTCAATATATATGCCAAAGGAAATGAAAACAGAATCTCAAAAAGATATCTGCATATTCACTGCAGTATTATTTACAATAGCCAACACAGGAAAACAAACTGTCCATCAACAGATAAATGCATAAAGAAGATGTGAGATACACACACCTTATATATGTATTAAAATTATTACTCATCCATGAGAAAAGAAATTCTGCCACCTGCAACAGTCAAATGGACTTTGAGGGCGTTATGCTAAGTGTAATAAGACAAACAGACAAATACTTATATTCTTTTTAAGAATAGGAAATTCAAGTGGTTGCACTAGAACAAAAGAGTAAATCCATGCCAGAACATAAGCAGGTAAGAGCTAGTTCCTCATTAGGGCAAAGAGGTCAGGCTGGATAAAGACATTGCAAAGTGAAACGGCAGACAATAAATCAGGACTCCCTATGCAAGGGCTGAATGCATATCATAAAGCAGGAACCTAAGCAGTTATTGGGACAGAGTACTATCCTATGATTATGACTTTAATTTTTTTTTTTTTAACGTTTATTTATTTTTTTGGGACAGAGAGAGACAGAGCATGAACGGGGGAGGGGCAGAGAGAGAGGGAGACACAGAATCAGAAACAGGCTCCAGGCTCTGAGCCATCAGCCCAGAGCCCGATGCGGGGCTCGAACTCACGGACCGCGAGATCGTGACCTGGCTGAAGTCGGACGCTTAACCGACTGCGCCACCCAGGCGCCCCTGATTATGACTTTAAATGCAGTACCTCCACACAAGAATGCAGAGAAGAAATTGATAGCTATACAACAGAGAATAGGAACTGAATAGAAACCTCTCATTCCTTAATCCTTCCCTTTTGTACCCAGTCCATTACAATCCTAATGCCTTCAATTCCTTCCCCAGACAGATTAGACTCTACAGTGCTATATTTTGGTAATTCTCAAACTTTTAGGCTCCAAACAACTTTTGTTTTCATGGGCTATATTTACTGTAACAGAAATTAAAACTGAGAAGATATCACAGTTACTTATTAAGTCATTTTTAAAAATAATAATTTTCACACTTAAAAATATCAAACAAAAAAATTAATGAGAATAGCATTGTTTTACTATTTTTACACATCTCTTTATTTTTTTATATAACTTAATGTCAAGTTAGCTAACACACAGTGTATACAGTGTGCTCTTGGCTTTGGGAGTAGATTCCCATGATTCATCACTTACATACAACACCCAGGGTTCATCCCAACAATTGCCCTCCTCAATGCCCATCACCCATTTTCCCCGCCCCCATCAACCTTCTGTTTGCCCTCTGCATTTAAGAGTTTCTTATGGTTTGCCTCCCTCTCGGTAACTATTTTTTTTTCTTTCCCTTCCTCAATGGTCTTCTGTAAAGTTTCTCAAATTCCACATATGAATGAAAACATATGGTATCTGTCTTTCTCTGACTGACTTATTGCACGTAGTATTAAATACCCTTTAGTTCCATCCACATTGTTACAAACGGCAAGATTTCATTCTTTTTCACTGCCAAGTAATATTCCATTGTATATATAAACCACATCTTCTTTATCCATTCATCAGTTGATGGACATTTGGGTTCTTTCCATCATTTGGCTATTGTTGACAGGGCTGCTATAAACATTGGGGTACATGTGCCCCCTATAAATCAGCACTCCTATATCTTTTAGATAAATTCCTAGTAGTGCTATTGCTGGGTCATAGGGAAATTCCATTTTTAAGTTTTTGAGGACCCTTCACACTGTTTTCCACAATGGGGCACCAGTTTGCATTCCCACCAACAGTGCAAGAGGGTTCTCCTTTCCCACATCCTTGCCAACATCTGTTGTTTCCTGAGTTACTTTTAGCCACTCTGACTGGTGTGAGGTGGTATCTCAATGTGGTTTTGATTTCTATTTCCCTGATGATGAGTGATGTTGACCATCTTTCATGTGTCTGTTAGCCATTTGGATGCCTTCTTTGGTAAAGTGTCTATTCATACCTTCTGCCCATTTCTTCACTGGATTATTTGTTCTTCAGGTGTTGAGTTTGGTAAGTTCTTTATAGATTTTGGATACTAACCCTTTATCCAATATGTTGTTTGCAAATATCTTCTCTCGTTCCGTTGGTTGTCTTTTAGTTTTGTTGACTGTTCCCTTTGCTGTGTAGAAGCTTTTAATCTTGAGGAGGTCCCAACAGTTCATTTTTGCTTTTATTTCCCTTGCCTTGGGAGATGTGTGAAGTAAGAAGTTGCTGCAACCAAGGTCAAAAAGGTTGCTGCCTGTTTTCTCCTCTAGAATTTTGATGTCACATATTTATGTCTGTCATCCACTTTGAATTTATTTTTGTGTATGGTACAAGAAAGTGGTCCACTTTCATTCTTCTGCATGTTGCTGTTCAGTTTTTCCAGCACCAGTTTTGCTAAACAGACTGTCTTCTTTTCCATTGGATACTCTTTCCTGCTTTGTCGAAGATTAGTTGGCCATACATGTGTGGGTCCAGTTCTAGGCTCTCTTCTCTATTTCATTGGTCTCTGTGTCTGTTTTTGTGAAAATACCATACTGTCTTGATGATTACAACTTTGTAGTACAGGCTAAAGTCTGGGATTGTTATGGCCCCAGCTTTGATTTTCTTCTTCAACATTACTTTGGCTATTCGGGGTCTTTTGTGGTTCCATACAAATTTTAGAATTGTTTGTTCTAGCTCTGTGAAGAATGCTGGTGTTATTTTGATTGGGATTGCACTGAAATGTATAGATTGCTTTGGGTAGCATCAACATTTTAACAATATTTATTCTTCTAATCCATGAGCATGGATATTTTTCCATTTTTTTGTGTCTTCTTCAATTTCTTTCATAAGCTTTCTATAGTTCTCAGCGTACAGATCTTTTACCTCTTTGGTTAGGTTTATTCCTAAGTATTTTATGATTCTTGGTTTGCACATCTCTTTAACATCTATTTTAAATTTAAAAAGCAGGCTTGCTCACCTTTTGCATTCATCTATTGTTTGTGGTATTTTGATTGACATACATGAAGAAAATTTAGCCTTACCAAGATATGTACTCTGAAATAAAGCGATAATTCTCTCCATAGGAGAACCTATGGAACCCCTGAGAGGATCCTCAAACCATATTCTGAGAATTACTGCTTTATTTCAACTATTATCTTGCCAGCACTCCCAACATATTGATCCTGTCATGTGACCAAACTCACACTGTCAATCTCCAACACTGGGCCAGTTCAACCATATTCAGTGGAATTGTTCACAACACTAGATGAGAAAATAATACAACCAAAATAAGCTGAATATCAAATAGGATAGAACAGCTAGTACTAAACTTGCCCTCTTGCCATAAAGAACTAGAAAACTAGACAAAACATAAAATAATTGTTTCAGACTTTGGACAGCAGGTAATACAAGGTTATAATCCCTAGCGAAGTAGTGAGGCACTTTACAGAATGAGGTATCAGGAGGTGTAGCCCAAGTCACACCAAACTTAAGGACACAGAGCTTAGACTTCAAGGAAACTTAAGTAACTAAAATTTTCAGAAAATAATACTAGAGACAAGGGAACTATCCTAATACACAAGAAAGCTCCAAATATATGCCCTTGAGATTTTCGCTAAATACTAAGTTTGCCTGTGTACCCTAAATT